TTTTTTATACCCTTTACGAAATAATAGCAATAACTGTTATTAAAGTGTTCCATATCGTTATTAGAACATCTAGTACTGGTTATAAGTTTTATAATAATAAATGTATTAAGCTGTTGTATACTCTGTATGAGTTAAAAACATGATATGTTTTTAACTCATACAGAGTATACAACAGTTTAATACATTTATTATTATAAAACTTATAACCAGTACTAGATGTTCTAATAACGATATGGAACACTTTAATAACAGTTATTGCTATTATTTCGTAAAGGGTACAAAAAACGTTGTATACTAGTTGTACAATAATTTAATAAAGAATAAGGTTTATAGTCACTATACAACTGTGCTAGCAATACGCGTTTTATATCCAATATTCACCTGTTTAACTGTCACATATAGTATACAATAGTCTTATAATGGCATATAGAATTCTAATAAAGAATAAAACGCATTTCTTTCAGTGCAGAGGCATTATTTTTGCAATAACTTGATACGCAAAATTACCAAGATATTTTAATTCTGCGGGTGTTATATGAAAGAGAAAGAATCCTTTTATTGGAAGAAATTATTTTATTGTTCCTTACCACTGCAAAGACGTACCACAAAGACACCGTCATTTTTGTGTTATAAACAATTACAATAAATTTGTTGCTATTATATTTAGAGAGATTATTTTTCCAGATTCGTAAAGCTGGAATTTTTACACAAATTTAAAAAAAAGTTGTTCTAACTTAATTTGGGGGAAAGTTAGACACTTTTTTAAAAAAATCACAGCTACTTTGTTTATAACAATTAAGACTTCTAATAAGTGCCATTTCGAAGATACCTAAAGAGCTAAAGTTTGTGTGTGAAATTTTCGAGGACACTAGCTTTGTAAAAGCGTCTCTGAGAATGCTCCAAATAATGACTTCCATACAAGATGACTGCGAGTCAGTGGAGGGGGAACCTACAAATCCACGAGCAAATTGATAGAGCAAGTTATAGGTATCTCTGGAACTTGTTGACCGATTTTGATGTTTTCTTTTAATTTGGGGTACCTTCTTGCGTATATCACAAATATGCGTTTTGTTAATAAATAAAAATTTAAATTAATCCAGTAATTTGTTTAAACATTAACAATTTTTTTTTGCAAAATATCAACATCTTTTGTAATGTTTTGAAATGGAACAGTATAGGAATGATTAAATATCATTTTTTAATATAATAATAATACAATTAACTAAGTATTTTGTTAAACTTTTACCAAAAAAAAAAGTCTAAATTATCAACATTTGACGGGAAGTCATAGATATAGGTTCAATTTTTTCTTATTAATAAATTAACATTTAAATAATTGAATAATTTGTTTAAACATTAAAACATTTTAAAATATCAATATTTAAGGTTTTTTCAGGTTATAGGAATAATTAATTTACATTTTAATATAAGCTTTATTAATGTAAACAATGCATTTTTATTTTCTTTATTTATATAATATAATTCTTACTTTCACATAGGTATTATGTAAATATATATTGTTCCATTTATAAATATCTTACATGCTTATAAAATAAAAAAGGTAAATTATTGTGCTCGCCTACATATAAGTATAACAATATATTATTTAGATTCAAACATAAAATTATCAAAAATCTAATCGCAATACATAAAAAAAATGTTGCTGCGGAAACTGTTCGTCAATTGTTGCGCATTCTAAGTGGAAAGACAAAAAAATCTGCATTCTCATAAGACTTCGCACTAAATAGTGAAAAATTATTTTATCTCGTCTCTTAAGTATCCAAACTAATCATAATTTTTTTTGAGGATTTTCTTCATATTAATAAGCTTATACATATGAATTTTTTTATGTATATATGTTTGTCAGTTCCATATCAGATAAACCTCCTTAAGGGGGCGATTTAGTATGTATATTTTTACCGTGTAACAGAGCTTCAGATGAGGACACAAATCATTGAAGAAATTAACATAATTGAATATTATTATATATCAATGTACTCGCAATGGTTCCCGCTAGTGAGTGAAATAAATTTCAATGCTCATGAGAACGGAAGAATAATTTAAATAAAATTGTGATTACCTCAA